GGAATCAGTTTTGTGTTTTACCCGATTATGAGTTTGGTTTTTTTTTTATCTATTGCTCGTCTTGAGTCGTTTTGGTTTCCGAGTTTGCTTGACGTCGTCGTTTCCGGTTCGAGAAACCGGTTCACGAACTTCTTGATCCTATCAAGAATAGTAAACCAAACTAAAAACTATCAGGATCCAACACAAACACAAAAATGTTGTTTGAATTGAGTTAAAACGTAAAGAAATAGAAACCTTGAAGGAAGAGGAAGAAGAAGGAAGAGAGGATTGTTTAGCGAGCTCGATTTCAACGGAGATGCTTGCTTTCGTTAAATCCACTCCTGAATTCTCCAATGCTTCTCTCAGTGTTTTCACTAATCTGCTTCAAAGATCACAAAAGATATTTAACTTGTGAGCCTTTAACTGTTACAAGACCTAAAGCGTGGAGAGATTTTAGTTTTACCCTTGTGAGTAAACACTTGATATACTGATGTTACCCTCGTCAACTTCCTCATCTTCCTCTTTCAATGGCCGAGTCTGACTCCGAGAACTCGGGCTTGGTTCTACTGTCTCTGATGATGCGACTCTTGTGTGGAACTGAGTTACGGGACTGCCCGCAATTACATGAGAGAATAAACTGTCGCTTTGAACCGACAATGGAAATGGTGCCGTCGTTGACATTGCTCGGTTCAGTGCTTCTGGATGATCGATAACTACGCCTTGTGCTGTTGTCAGGACCGGAACAGGAATGTTGTTCTTCTCTTCTTCCAACTTTGGAGCAAATGTAACGGATCCTTCAGGTACAAGCTGTTGGTTGTTTTTCTGTTGTAGTTTTAAATGGATCACACAGATTAAACTTTGAAGCCATTTAGCGTGTATACATTACATGGTTTGTTTTCAGCTTCAAACCAAAAGAATGAGGTATGGTTGTTAATGTGAGATTATAATTACCCAATTCAATAGCTTTGCAGGTTCGGGACTCCATCCTTGGTAAGGGGTCTCATACTTGTTTGCTTTCTCCTGTAAGAATTGTATGTACTCGATAACCTGTATGATGATGTTTCAAGAAGAAGATTTTGAGATTAGGAAAAGATGTGATCGAAACAAATCAACTGTTACAGAAAATAATGTCAGAAATACTTATACCTCTAGTAAGAAGGAGGCCTTGTCTCGCTTTTGGTCGCTGTTAGGTATTAGTTGTCTCAACATTTGAAATCTGCAGAGAGATCCGATAACAATGTGTGATTAGTCTTTCCCCTCCGCTATACTCTGTCGCCGCCAATTCTGGCTCTTGCTACATACCACTATCTCAATGAATAGATATTGAATACTAACCGATCATTGATCTTGCTCCTCCTCCGTTGCTCTGTAGCGGAATGTTTAGACCTCGGCGTGTTCAGCTTTTGATCGTTACCAGAGCTTCTCGCATCTGCTTTTACTCTCAAATCCACTGGAAGGAACAAAATCGATCAAATCTTAAGCGTTTACAGTTCAAAAAACGTAAAGCAGATATTTCAGAAAATAGTACAAACCTCTATGGCTCTGGCTAGTGGAGGAGCTTTCTTTCTTCAAGATGAAATCTTCCTCATCATCTAAATCGTCGTCCAGCGAACCTCCTTTCGCTGACCTTATCATGTCCATGAAGCTCTGGCTCTTTAACCCAGACCCTCTGCAACCAAAGTAGAACCTTATCTGATCAGCCTTTTACTAGCTTTTGGCAGGTACAGAGACTCGGCAAGAGCAATCCATAGATACAAAAGAGAAGAAATGAGACTGACTGGGAGGAAGAGTGAGAGCTGAAACCGCTAGGATGGTTATTCGTCAAAGACTGCGACCGTCGTTCCACCACTGGCCACTGTCCCACAGTTGTTGCAACATCAGCTATATATTGACCAAAAACAAAATCTTAAGTCATTTATTTCAAGTGGTTACTAAACACTTGTAAACTAGTCTAATGAACATCAAGATGCAGTTTTTTCTTGTTACCTCTGATGTTTGCTCTCTCTCCAACACTATTCTCCTTCCTTGTCTGTCCCTTCTTCCCAGAAGCAGATTCATCCCACAGAGTGAATCCGCTTGCTGCAGCAGCGTACGAGCTGCAGTTGGAATTTGAATTCTCGTCCACAACGTTTCTCTCATTACCGCCACTCGCTTGCGCAGCAGAAGTGAACATCATCGGTGGTGACAACTCCGGCTTAGGAATTCTCTGATGATGATGATGGAAGTAAGGAATGGGGCTTATCGTGTACGTTCCTATACCACCGGGAAGCACGTGCTGCAGCGGTGGTGGCTTCTCTGACGCTGTCGTGGTACTGTCAATCCTACTTGTATCTTCTTTAGCACCAACACATTCTAACGGTTGAAGAAAATCATGGGTTTTCAAGTGACAGCTGCTCATGTTTCATCAAAAAAAAAATCTATCAGAAATTATTGTATGCGTTTAACCATAATTCAACAAGATGTCCATTGGTAAAACTCTTTAATGGGGTTCTTAAGAATTTTTTAATATTATTTTAACACTAAAATTAGTTTAGAACTCTAATCTTGTTTTTTTTAAAAATTCTCCTCCATTGGTAGAAACCTCTTTTCATGATCATGGCTTGAATCAGTAATCACTATGCGCCCATCGGTATAAAATTCACGTTCCTTTCCTGCACATCGGTTTAACAAAATCCAAATCAATTTCACTACAAGAGTGACTATTCAAGTCAAATCTACAATCCAAAGAACCAAACCTCAAAGAGATTGAAACAAATAGTAATCAATCAAAATCAAAAGCATCAGAGACAAAGAAATATCATGAATCTGACAAAACAAAATCATCCCCAAACAGATCATGCTAAAATTAACCGGAAAAACCAAAGATTTACAGCTTCAAATCCCTAAAAACCCAAATCGAAACACACTAATCAATACAAAGGAAGTAAAAAAGAATACCCATTTGTTGGATCGATGAGGACAACAATAAAAATCCAAACTTTTAAGAATCTAAAACAGAGAAGAGAAGGAAGTAAAAAACTTCAGATTCAAAGCGAAGCTTAATACTATGAACAGAAGAAAAAAGGTCGCTTAAACGTGTGTGTGTGTGATTGAATAATTGAGATATAGAGAGGCTTATGAGCTGTGAGAAAGGTCGCTTTCCGACCGCCGGAATCGGCTT